TTTAAATATGGTGACTTTTTGTACCTCATAGAATTACGTTTATTATAAAAAATCACCAAATTTTAAAAAAAAGTGTCATTAAATGCACAGTTGCTTTTGTACTTGAAATTGGAAAGCGGTCAAAATGACCACCTTCGGCGTTCTAGTGTTAAATCTAAGATTTTCTTAGAAAATTTAAGATATGATAAGATATACTTAATCTAAAAGTATTTTGTATAGCTAAATTAATGTTTATTTATTGTAACGTTTAAAAGATTCCCTAACAACGTAGCGGGCCTATGCTAGTACTTTATAAATAAATAAAAAAAACAATTAAATTTTTTACAATTCTCCCTTAATACTTTTTTGTAGGACCATATGAGTACTATCAGTCGTAAAACAAATTGAGAGCCTCCGGTTTTCAGCCTTTTAAATACCACAAAAGAGCGCGTCTTACACGACTTTCAGTGGCAAAATCAAACTTTAAATGTTAAATAAATCGAAAACAATTTAGTTTTTTACAATTCTCTCTTAAGACTTTTCTGTAGAACCTTAGGAGTACTATAAGTGGTAAAAAATTGAGGGCCTTTAGACATCAATGTTAATAATGGGAAAACTCTGCGAAGTGTGTGAATATTTTGACCTTTTAATATTCTTTACATGACTAAGATATATCTAGCATTATTATCGCACTTTCAAAATTTACCATATCCTTTATTTGCGAAGGATTTTTATCGGTCACTCAAGCGAAGTAACTCACGCGGCATTCCTGAGTTTTCAGTTTTTATTTCTGCAGTGTCTGCATTTATAGTCTTTAAATTAGTATTTATGCTAAGAACAAGAAGAAAAAATGACAAATGTGGTCTTTCTTTGTATTTTTTGCCTTTACTTTACGTATTTAAGCACAATTAAAGAAACAAATTCTTCGACTTTGGTTTACCTTTTGCGGAAGTGCCTATATCCTTTATTGCAAAGGATTTCTCTAGGTCACTCATGCGACGTAACTCACGCGACATTTTTGATTTAGCAGTTTTTATTTCTGGAGTATTTATTGTAAGAACAGGAAGAAAAACATAATAAATGTAGTATTTGTTTGTATTTTTGCCGTTACTTTACGTATTTAAGCACAATTAAATAAACAAATTCTTCGACTTTGTTTTACCTTTTGCCGGAAATTCCCATATGTGATCTTTATACCATTCTGGGCCCTATGGTAAATTTCATTTCATTTAAGCAAGTTTAGAGTCGTTTGCGTACAATGGGACTAATTTATGTAAATCGATTTAGAGAATACTTGATACATGCTGTTCAGTAAGCCGCACTCTTCAAAATTTAATCTCAATCAGACACCCGTTTGAAATATGTATGAAGGCTGTGCATCTGTCTGCATCCGTCGATACCTTGTGCAAATATATATATATATATATATATCAGACCGATTTTCTCGAAACTTAGCACAAATCATAATAGAAATAATTTAGTACGCTATGCCAAATTTCGTGCAAATCGAACGATATATAGGTACTTTGGTGCACCATGCATATTGGAGCTAAATCTGAACCGATTTTCTAGAAACTTAGCAAACATCATTATAGATTTAATTCAGTACGCAGTGTAAAATTTCGTGCAACTCGAGAGGTATATAAGGACTTTGGTGTACTATCTACATAAAATTGGACGAAAATATATATGGGAGCTATATCTAAAACCGATTTTTCCCAATTTCAATAGGGTTCGTCCTTGGGCAAAGCAAATGAGCTGTGCCAATTTTTTTCCACATCGGATCATAAATGCGACCTATACTTTGTTTACAATTTAACACGCACAGACGGACGGACATGCATAAATCGATTCAAAAAGTGATTCTATGCATATTTTCAAAAGGAACCAATGGTCTATCTTGATTCCTTTTGTCTGTTGACGTGCTGACCTTGTAACGATTAATGTTATCCTGTATAGCTGTATAAATTTTGCAGGAATATCGAACGCAACCATGACTTTTAAAACCTCTGAGTGGATTGGGCTGTCGAATGCGACTTTATAATAGACGAATCGGTGCAATGTGTCGATATGTATTTCGTGGGTATTTTGGATTTGGAGCAGTATGAAAATCTGGTCAATGGTGGATTTGGCAGTCCTGAAACCGCATTGGTATGGTCCTAAAACGTATTGACTATTGGCTTCAATCATAGAAAGGAGACTTATTTCTCTATAGTTGACACATTTCGTCTTGTCACCATCGGCACCTGCTGCTTTATTATTCTTCAGCCGTTTATTTGCTATTCTGCCCTCATATTGGCTAGGTGGTATACAATCTATACCGTCATCTCTTATTGGCTCTGGGGTATATTCTTCACCGCCACTATTTCATACCAGAAGCTTTGAAAAATTGTCATTCCAGATCCTCAACACGCTGTCTGTATCTGTCACCAGGTTTCCTTCTGCATCTATACAGGAGGATGTACCTGCACTAATGCCTTAAGTTTGGTGTTTTACTCGTTGGTAAAATTTCCGGACTTCAATCTGACTCCTGTACATTTCGATTTGCTGATGCACATGTTTTTCATGTTCCTTCTTCTTTTTGATACGTTTCTCTCTCTCCTTTTCCCCCTATGATTCTCTTTTGCATTGTGTGTTGCTACTAATTGTAAGGTTGCCCTATACAATGCGTTTTTCACTTCAGTAGCATTATGACACTCCTGATCGTATCATGTGTTTCTTGATAGTGGTCTTTGGTACCCAATTGTTGCTTTTGCTATTTGTAGGAAGTGACAATTCCTTGCCATTGTGTTTCTATGTTATTATCGGGACAATGAGTGCTTTCGTCAAGCAGGTCGGCAACCTGCAGTGTTTGAAGCTTTTCGACGTCGATTTTCCGTGTTGTGTTAGATCGCACCTTTGCTGCTACAGTAAGACGATTTCGAAACTTGGCCGCTTTAAGGTGGATGTCCGAATGAATATTCGCTCTTCAAATCGATAGAACGCTTATGAATGCCTTCCGTCTATCACAAAATTATCGATTTGATTTCTCGTTCTTTGATCTGGAGAAATCCAGATGGTCTTGTGTATATCGAGACGCTTGAATTTGGTGCTGCTTACTACCATATTTTTTGCTGACGCAAAGTCAACCAACCCCATGCCGTTGTCGGTTGTTTCTCCACAACGGTGGGCCAAAAATATTTTCCCTTCTGATTTTTGCATTAAAATCTCCTAGTAGAATTTTAATGTCATGACAGGCAGTGGTCATATGCTGTTTCTATGTGCTCGTAAAATATATCTTTGTCTTCCGTCGGAGTATGGGTGCAAATAAGGCTAATGCAGAAGAATTTCGCTTTTATATGGATTATAGCAATTCGCTCATCTACTGGGGTGAATTTGGAGATGAGGTCTTTTATTATCCTGGTAACCATAAATCCACAGCCAAATTTATGTCTCTATTCGTGGAAGCTATAATACGTGCAGAATCGTCTGATTTACTTACGTCTGTCCCATTCCATCGCAATTCCTGTGAGGCAATATTATCGGTTTAGTACTACTTGACTACATCTATCAAAGGGAAACTGCACCTGTTCTATACAACGTGCGCACATTCTAAGTGCAAATTCGCATGGTCGTGGTCCTTTATACGTTTGCGGGTGTAGCCAACATTAGGGGTAACTAACCAGACGCCAAAACCCATTTTTTATAGTTCTTGTGGGTGAACTCGTGGCAGATATCAGCTTAATATGATGGTGATGAAAGTAGCTACCCCTCAGTTAAAACCGCGGGGAGGCCAGTGTCCACAATTAGGATGAAAGGGAGACCAAGATAAGCCTTGTTTTTGCCATTTTAAAGCCAATCAGAGCCGTTGCTTGGTATCCATCATCCCCTACGCCAAATTGTAACCGTGTCAGACAATTAGGAGTCATTTTAGAAATATCCTATGTCTGTGCTAGTACATATGGCCAACGGGAGTAATTGCCAAATTGCAACCGGAATCATTATATATCCTATGTCTGTTTTGGCACCGATTTGATCCAAATTTTGTATATCATATCATTCCTTCCAAACTTCGAACAAGGAAGATTGAGACTATCTAGATCATATTTCCCGACTCCGACAAATATAATACAGAAGTCAGGATAAACATCGAAAACTAATTTTGTTCTCAGTGATAGGGAGACCAACGTTTTTAATATCTACTCATTTACATACCATGAATAAATATTTTGTCAGCACATATTTGTGCTCTTAAGTTTACAAATAGGTTCAGACATGAAGTACCACCCTCTCTACAACTTTCTGAACGGTTCGTAAGGACTCATATATTTACGAATTGAAATTTCTATAGTATCTTTTGTACAAAACCAAAGTTATGTAATTTAAGTCATGTATTGTATTATAAAAGTTAAATACGCATTTTTATTCTTACAAAAAAAAATTGTAAGAAAACTTCATCCCACAGAACTTCTAACTACTAAAATCTCTAAAATATGGCGTATTTCAATTAGTGCGTAATGTTGTGTAAAACATTAACCTTTTCAACTTTGCAAATTACAACCTGATCCTTTGCAATAGTCGTATTTCGTCGTCCTCGGTGGAAAATCCTTCTTCGATGTGCTCACATATAGAATTCTATTTCTTATTAGGGACATGACATGTTTAAGGCGCATAAATACAACCAACCCTCATTATGCCAATTAGAATGAACAAAAAAAGGCAAATTGAAACATGTTGTTGTAATTCTTTGTAAGACAATATGACGAAGAAAAAAGAATAACCGAACCCAATAATCGGCTAAAGAGCCATACTCCTGCCGAAGGTTTAAATGAATACAATATTTACAGGATTTAATGGTATTTCAGTAAAAGATCTTGAACAAGTGTGTAGGTGAGTGTGTGCGGCTGTAAGTGTGATATTCTATAGATATCCATAAATACTTTCACACACACACACTCCCAAAAACCTGTTAAATTTCCATTGAACGAACGAATAAATGGTCGGTTGCATAGTCCATCTTATATGGTAATTGGATACTTTACCTCTTCGGTATTATTTAAATTGGTGATGGTGTTGGCAGTAGCTGCTACAGGCGCTGATGATGATGTCGACGATAATGTTGTTGTTGTTGGTGGTGCTGCTGTCGTCGTTGTCGTTGCTACGACAGCATGACCATGACAGTGACTGTGGGTGGCGGTGGCGTTGATGTGGCTGCCAGCAGCATTGGCCACCTCAATGCCAGCACGACTTTTACTATCCACATTACTGCTACTGAACTCGGTGTCTTCCACTTCGACCGTGTTGACAGTATTTGTTGAGTTGCCTTCGACCAAGCCCAGTGTGGTGACCCGACCCATGGCCATGTTGGTCTTAACATTTGTGAATTTGCCAAAACGTAACCTGAGACGTTTGCGTTTCTTCTGTGCCATCAAATCAGGCTAAAAAGAAAGAAAGAAAGAAATGTTGAAAATAAAAGGCGATTAACTTACAATACAATGAGAGAAAGACACACGCAAATACACACACATGCAGACACACTCATTCCTTTTGCAGGAATAAAGGACATAAATAACAAACAAATAACAAATATTGGTACGTCGGTTTTTTTGTCTGTTTGCAAGGATAAAAGAAAGGCATCAAGAATCAAGTAACCGAAAGCCAAAATCAAAATCATGGCAATCGGGTTTCCATTGCAGAAACCACAAATTGAAGGCCATAAATGACCGAACAAAACGACTGAACGACCGACCCACTGACCGCATGCCAAACGGACACAGATGGGTTATTAAACATGTCAGAGAGTTCTTTTTCCTCTAAATGTAAATAGACAAAAATATTTAGATTGTTGTGGGGAAATTGAATAGAAATAAGCTGTTTCATATTTTCTTCGAAGTTGATATATGTTTGGAAACAATATTACGATGTGCATAATTTTTAATAAGTGCGGCCATTTGCTTTGTTTGTTATTATCATCCAGTAGGAAAAATAAACATTTAAAAATCGACTCATTGAAGTCTAAATTGATATTTCGATTTTGAACAAACCGACTATATAAAACCCTGCACCACTTTGGGTATATAAATTAGATCTGCACCAAGATTTAGGGGTTAGTACCAGAACGGAAAAGTTGACTTAGGTCAGTTTATTGATCTATGGAGCTAGTGACCCTTTGCAGTTCTAACTATTCAAGCGTCGATGCTTCAGTTCGTAAATTCCATTGTGCAATGCGCGTCTGTTTCATGTGTCAAAGTCATTTCCATATAATCCTGTTGTGGTTCATTATACCCCACCCAACTATGTTGAAAGGGTGTTGTAGCTTTGGGTATCCCCAAGAGTTTGTAAAGCTGCGAAATTGTGTAATTCGTTGGTCGGCCCAGTCTGACTATACAACTCCGCTAACTGATTTTTATTTATTTTTATTTCGTTAATCGGTTTTACTTCAGCTAAGTATAGGATTGGTCTATTGTAGATTCTTTTGGGTAAAGGGACTGCCATCTAACGCTGCCTAGAAGCTGCGCATCTGGAAATTTATAGTTGTGGTTGGTGTCCTTGCTTATATGTTATACCTCCACCATAACGTGGGTGTATATTAAATTTGTACTCCCTTTGCAACACCTCGAAAGATTCATTAGTTATCTGTCTATGCGTTGTCTGTCTGTTGAAATCACAATAAACTTGGCAATATTGATGATATAACGATACCCCACAACATTTGGTATTTTGAGGCTTTTGGCCATGTTCTTCAACGTTCTTCTAATTTGATATTAGGGACTCTCATTGAGGAGAAAATCTCCCTAGCAAAATTTGTTAATAGTTAACCGTGACCTTCGTCCCCAATATGTAGGACACCTTTAGCAATAAAATTGGTATTTTGGATTCTAAAAGATGTTTCTAGTAAGTACTATTACCATTGATCCATTACTGTACCCTCCAATATTCCGCATTTTGGGAGGATGCTTCGAAGTGGCACCTTACAAATTTGCCCCCCAAATGTCAGTAGTTTTGGGAAGTTGGATTGTAAATATAGGTCCACTCTTTCAGATAGCCCCCATATAACGGAATTCCCGAATTTTCGGTATTTTGAAGGTTTTAAGCGGGTATTTCCAGCGAATTCTCTAGTATTTTGTAGGCGTATATGGCAACAAATCTCCCTCTATCCTCTATTATATTAAAATAGTTAACTGATTTATTCAGCGTTTTGGATTTGTCCCCATATAGCCGTATTTCACCATCGTATGGGGGATAATTTGCACTCGAAATTGTCAGTTTATACCCAACAAAGTTAGGAATTCTAAGATGATTTAGCCATCTGTTGTAATCATTCAACAGATGAACTATATCCGTCCACATTTAGTCCTAGTGCCAAAATATATTGATACCTAACGATTTTCGATATTTTTAATATTTAGCACGAAGGAAAGCATTGTGTTGCAAAAATGTTAGCATCGAAAATAATGATAACTCCAAGTTTTTGGTGATTCCTATACGATATAATCAATATTGGTCCCGTTTTAGGTATAGCCTCCAGGGACGTACGCATACACAAAAAATTTGTTTCCGAAAGGAAAAATTTCATATTGAACCAGCAGCCAACACCCCACCCACCGAATTAAAATCCTGTGATAGCCTCTTATTCGCAATGTATTTTTGTAAAGTGGAATTGTTAAAGGACAATCCTCTTGAAAGTGGTAAGGATCGGTCTGGATTTAAATATAGTTCCCATATATTTTCTCCAATTTCATGCACATATTACATTATTGTCATCAAAATATCAAAGTTATATATTTTTTCTATGAGTAGATATTATTCAAATACCCAATTTGATACTCATATTTTAAATACATAACCCTTTTTGTAAACAAGACATTTGAGAAGAGTTATGATTGTCTATTTTCTTCTCTTTCGTTTCTATTTGTGCGTTTCAAAGAAAAAATGAAAATAATAATAACGCTTCTGGTGGTTTACTTTGCTTTGTTTGAAATTCTTCATCTTCACAATTTTTTCTCTCCTACGATATCCCCACTTTGTCCAACGACAATCAAAGCTAAAGTAAAGAAAATTATGAGCAAGGATCTATGGCAAACGGCAAAACTTTCAACTAAACTAGCCAACGAGTGAAATGCATAAATTTGCCACAAATTATGGGAAATAATTTCGAAGACAGCAACTGTTTGCAATTCGTTTAGCAAATGTTTTGGCTTGAGACAGGCAACTCTTTCGCAAATTATTCGAAGTCATGGCGTTGCTCAAACAAAGACATCGAAGAAAATAAACAAAAAAGGAACCATTTGCAGATGTAATAAGTTTTGTGTTGCTTCATTTGCATATCGCGTTGTTGGCCGGAAGCTATTTATTGCGTTTCAGGTCTGATGAAATGTTAGTGTCAACTAATTTGGCTGCAGCAACAGAAGTAACAGCCGTCATTGGCATTTTTGTTAGTTTTGCATTTACACACAGTGACAACCTGTCACGTTATAATTAATTAATTTAAAATGACATATGTGTGTTATGTAGAATATTTTCTAAAATAGATTCATTCGATTTTAATTCATTAATTTGTTAACTAGAAGTAATATATTTTTTTCCGTACCGGCGACTTCTTCCTTTGACGACACGCTAATGCAAACAGCGCAGCGTCGATACAATACGTCAAGGCGTTAAGTTCGACCGGACCGAACTTTTGATAGTACCTATGGAAACAATCCTCCCAATACCGCAATTTGAAGGTCACATATATATATCTTATGTTGATCCAATATTTATTACTTCTGGTTAAACAATTTAGATTGATGTTAAATATTAAAAGGTGAAGAAGCGGGCCGAACATTGGATATCCTCCACCATAGGAATACCAAACAGTAAATTGAAATGAAAATATAATGAACATACCAATAAGTGGACCTGTAAACTCTTGTAAACCACAATGTACACCAAATAGAAATTTCACCAATTTTTAATTTTTTAAAAATTTCAAACCCCCAAAACGTGGACCGATTTTGACGACACTTGGTAGGTGGAAAAATGTGTACAAAATTCTCAAAATACTGCAATGTAGAGGGCAAAGTTATATGAGGCCACCAGTAACGTACACAGGATTATATTTCGGGGGTTGGGGTGGAAACTGCTGGTTCAATATGAACGTGTGTATCGATATATATCATATTCGAATACGATCTTTTAGTTTTGCCGATCGATTCCTTCGGAATTCGGATTACAGCAGATCGACAGACATGATGATATCGTTTTAAAATTTATAGGATTTAAAGTGACTATTTTGAGAACGGAATGAAAAAGACCGAGACGAAGGTTTATACCATCAACGACGTGTTATTGGCTTATACAGACAATTTTCGGAAAAATGTGTTTTACACTCCAATATCCCGGAAAAACTAAAGCAACTGAAAATGCAAACTGAATAAATGACCTGTAGCTTTTTTTAAATGAAGTTAAAGTTTTTTGTAGAAAGTCAAAATTTAATATAAAATCCATTTTAAAACCAGTAAGGAAAGTTCAAAAGTCGGACGGGACCGACTTGTATGCACCCAACGTTATGATGGGTATCAACCGTGTTGGGTGCATACAAGATATATGTACAATATCTTTTAGAATTGACATAGCACTTTTGGAGGAACATTGAAATGGAATCGGTCAAAATTAACTGCGTGAAGTTAGTAGATATTTGAACTAAATTAAAAGATCCCATACATATACCAATCTAAAATATATGAGCAATAGAATGTCGGACAAATCTTGGCAGTATGGTGCTTCATTTACACAAAATATATACGGGAGCTATATCTAAATCTGAACCGATTCAACAAAACTTCGCATACATCAATCAGGGCCTAATTTAGTACTCTGTGCAAAATTTTGTCTCAATCGCACCAATATTGGCAGTATGGTGCTCCACTTAGATAAAATCGTACAAAACTATATATAGGAGCTATATCTGAATCTGAACCGATTTAAATAAAACTTGGCATAGATCGATCTAGACCTAATTCAGTACTGTGTGCAAAATTTTGTCTCAATCGGACCAATATTAGAAATATGGTGCACCATTAACATAAAATCGGACAAAACTATATATGAGAGCTATATCTAAATCTGAACCGATTTTTTTTCAATTTCAATAGGGTTAGTCCTTGGGCCAAATAAGTGACATGTACCAAATTTCATTTAAATCGGGTCATAAATGCGACCTGTACTTTGTTCACAAAAATACATGGACGGACGGACGGACGGGCGGACATGCGTAAATTGACTCAGAAAGTGATTCTATGCATATTCTCAAAAGGAACAAAGACACAATACTTGTACCACAGAGTGGTGAAGAGTATAAAAATAGACCCATGTATTGTAATAAAATCCATTTAAGAATGATCTATATGAATCGAAATAGGTGTAGAAACGAAAATATAGTAATTATAACGGCAGA